TGCGATTGTGCTTGATTTTGAAGATAAAGGGAGATGCAGAAACAGAGATGGAAGGAGACAAACAAACAGAGCAACAAACGTAAAGTTATTGAAAACTCTAATTATTATTCTAATATTACAGTGGAGGGATTTAGTGACATTTTTCAACTCTTACAAACATTTTCCTCGAAGATATAATTGAGGGAAATCAAACTGTTCTCCCGACTGCTGCAGGGATTATTAGCTCGAGGTTGTTTTTTGTTTCTTATATATGAAAGACATGATACAAGAACACCATCTGGCCTTACAGACATGCTGGGAAAAAAACTGAGTGGGCAGCAGGTTTTTCTGTGCATAGAGTCTTTATTAGCTGATGGTGAGCAGTCATAGTAAAGGACACTTTAATGGGGGCTGAAACTAAAAAAGATGTCCATTACCTTTTAATTCTCCTAGTTATTTCCATTCATGGTTGGGGTGATTAACGTTATTGAGATATTTAAGTGTAAGTTTAAATCAGGGCTCAACCAATGTGGGGATTTGTGTCCAATATGGGTATTGGGAAGCAGGATGATACAGAGGATGTAGTTGATTTTTTTTCTACTGTATTTATGTGTAAAACTTTGCACATTCTTCCATTAAAAACAAGTTATGATCTCAAACAAGTATTGTATCTCTGTGAGTTATGCTTTCTGAAACGATCATTCATGCCTGTTTCTGGACACTGACAGTGGTTGAGGTCATGCCAGGCGTGTGATCGTTCATCTATTGTCTGGCACGCGTGGTACTTTGTTTTCTCGTCTGACAAGCCGTCGATGGAGGTCAGCTTAAGCGGCGTGTGTCATTTGTATGCGGAATGTAAGCGGTGAGGAAGCCACGCCCATCTGGCGCACACCGGCCGACGGGCTGCCTGTTTGTTTTGGGAGGGAGAGCAGTACATACTAATCCTCCTGAATCCTTAATTGTTACAGAGCGGGAAGTTTGTTTCTCTTCTACATCATGAATATGATTCCATCTGTGTTTTGATCCATGACGGTCAACAGAAAGAGAAAGTGTTTTCTCTCACATGGGTCGTTCATTAGCTAAGATGCTAATGTGTTTAAAACAGATGAAGAGGTCTGGAGGTCCAAGAGCTTTGTAAAGATATTTATGTCAGTCAACCAGCAAGGACAAAAAGAGCGAGGGCCACTCCCCCAGGAAGCTCTCTTCATCACATCCCTGCTCCCTCTGTAATGAGACAGGGCTTCAAATATGGAAATGAATGTTCATCTAAAATCCCTCTCCAGTTCAGGTTTGTTCACAGCGTTAAGCTCCCAGCTCCAAATGCTCATCATGGAGTTTTCTTTTTGCTGACACATACAGGTGATCAATAAAACCAAATAAAGCATAACGGTTCTCATTACAGCGTGAAGGTAAAGACAGATTTGTCCACTTTAAGGTTATAAAAGATTCCCCAGTGTGAAGTGGTGTGCCCACAGGATTCTCTGTTCATCTCAGTGATTGTTAAACTGGGAGATGCTTACTGGTTTCCTCTTGAGTGCTTTCAGTAGACATGTGTTCATTTTCTCACGTCTGTGTTTTTCCATGAAGATGGACACGCCTCTGACGACACGCTCACCAGATCTGCACAGCCTAATGCGCCCCCTCTCTCATGCAGGCCATCACTATAAATCGAATAGTCAGTTCATAGATTGTAGAAAAAAATAATGATCAGCTTTCTTTTGATCTTTTAGAGGGCAATTTTTACCTTGACTGGAGACAGCTGAAGAGAGACAGGAAAGAGAGAGAGAGGGGATGACATGCAGCAAAGGGCAAAGGTTGGATTTTAACCCACGCTTGCTGCGGGGAGGATTTAATCCTCCGTACATGGGGCGCGCGACATAACCGCCAGGCCATTCAGAGCGCCTGCTCTCAGCTTTTTGAAAATGCTTCATTTAAATTTGAAAAGTCTGTGTTTTAGACGAAAGGTCAGACAAAAGATTCTCTGAAGACCTTTTGTGAATAAACGATCTACTTTTTAATTCAGACAACATTCAGGAGTATAAGTGATTAACAGCTTAAGATTTGTCTAAAGTTGCCTTGAAACTGAAACTTTGAAAACACAAACATGTTAGTTTTATTATTTTTATTAGGATATTTTTTCAATGCAGTTTGGGAAAATAAAATTTGACAGTCTATACAAATTCTTCAGATGTAAAACCTCTGATACCTGATATGATATTTAATTTTCTGTTTTTTTTTTCTTCATTTTTGTTGTATTGCTTTTGTTTTCTTTCTCACATTTTTCTATCTTTGTATTGAAGTTCTCTTCATATGTTATCAATGTTTTTGTTCTTCCTATCCCTATCTTTCTTTCTTCACTCGTTTTCCTTTTTGTTCTTTGCAAGTCTTAGTGATCTTTCCTTTTTTAGATTTATTTTGGGCTTCTGCCTGTATTCGATAGGACGGTGAAGTGTAGGAAACGGGAGAGAGAGAGTGGTCCGCCTGCTTGGTGGACTGTAACCTCCGTACATGGGGTGTGATCTAACCGCTAGGCCATCTGCGCCTTCCTTCTAACATTCATCATTGTTGATATATTCTAATTATTCAGTAAGAAGTAAAGATGCAGAATCTTATTTGAGACGTTGCACGTAATGACGGGCGTTTTGAGCTCCAGCACTTTCACTGAGTGCGTGGAAGTTGAGCTCACCGTCTCTGTGACAGTTGGACATTATCTGTCTGACTTCATTGCATTAAGGTCATGTGAATATTTTTGTGTTTGTTATATATCTTGTGTGTGTGTGTGTGTGTGTGTATTAAAGCAGAAGAATGAGGACTGTTGATCTCCCAGCCTCGTCCTCAGCCGTGCCCACGCCCCGCTGAGCATCGCCGTGGGCCTCTTCATTTGCATTAAGTGCAGTTGTTTCAACAAAGCCCTGCTTGTATGTAGACCCACGCTCACACTCAGAGCAAAGTGCTTCCAGTCACTCTTGATTTACTCCAATTGTTTTGAAGTTATTGTCCCCGGATTGTGCTTCAGAGTCCATTGTCTTGTGTCCGTGGGCCGATCGGGCTGCAGTGTCGTACGTTTCCTCTGATATTACCTCGACTTGAGTGTTGGATCTTAGAGACACAGATGATTCTGACAAACAATACAATCCCTCACTGCCTCTCCATTTTTGTGCACGAGCCTGCATCTTCTTCTATTAACTGCCAGCTGCACACGATGGTGGGAAAAACACATTAACAAATAAAAATAAGTCATGTGTTTATTATTGCCCAAGAACTCAAAGCTAATTGGATTTAACTTTGCTGGAGCATTCTTGGAAGCATTATTAACCGAGAGCAATCATCATCAGTTATATAAAACACATGAGGCCAATAAAACGCTTTTCTACCAACTGCTCTCATAGCTCGGATCTGGAGCCTCTTGTTGTACGTTGAATTCTCGACGATTTCTCAACAAAGTCAGAACCTTCAGGTCTGGATGTTTTCAGAATTGCCTTATCACACATGTACCTCACCACTGGGGGGTCGTAGTGTTGATTTTTGATGGGAGTCATGGACCAATCTGATGGGTTGGGAACCGTACGGTCGCCGGTTCAAGTCCTGATCCAAATCATAATATAATGGAAGTTGGTCTGGAGAGGTGTAAGGGTACTGCTGAAGTGCCCTTGAGCAAGGCATCGAACCCCCAACCGCTATTTGTGTGTATTATGTGCCTGTGTGAGAGAAGCATGTCTCTAAAATAAAAGTATAAAACCAGAATTTCCCTCAGGGATTAATAAAGTATGTAAAATTAAAAATCAAAGGCCTGGAGTCCTTGACAACATCACAGTCAACGTGGTTTGTAAATTAAAAATAATATAACATAACATAAATCAGTGTGCAGTTAAAGGTGGGGTGCTTATGGACTTACTTCCCCCCAACTGGGCTGGCCAATGAATGCCTTCAGTTAACAAATGACTTCATTAAATAGCATGTGCTTTAAGAATGCTTTAAATTATATACTTTTAAATTCACTTGTGCTGGTTTGTGTTAATATAATAAAACATTAAAGGGGAAAAAAAAGGGGCGGGGGGGGGGTGTTTCCCCTAGGTTTACAGCGTTGGGGGGGTGGGGACAAGCCGACATGCCGACACGACGACTTGAAGGAATTTTGGTGTTCATGTGTTACTTTTAATGACAGATGTCCCTTTCTATCGGAAAGGTATCCTTAAATGACTTCTTTCCCTGATTTCTGACTCTATCCACTATCCTATCTCTACAATAAAGGCACAAAAAGCCGAAAAACAATCTTTTTAAAAAAATAAAAAATGTTACTTGACCTTCAGGAGGGACGGGCCGCCCCCCCAATATAATTGTAGGGGAAACACTGGCGCAGTAACAGATTCCCTCACTCTCTAATCCTGGAGCAGAGATGTAGGAGGCAGATGGATGAATAGGAGAACCTGCAGGAAGTCCAGAGTGGATGCTCTACGACAGTCTGGACATCAGCTGTCATGACAACAATCCAAAAAAAAAAAGCGAGCACACTGACCTCCCTCTTTACATCTCTGGCTTACTGTTGTGTTTCATCAGATTCTATTAGATTTCCATGTTTTCTAGCTTGACTGCTTGAACCTCTGAACCTCCCGGATTAGACTCATAGATGGCTTTTTCTGAATCCTACTTTGTCTCCTTTTGTGTCTCCGTCTGTAACGTTTGTGTTTTTTGCTGCTGACTGTCTCGGCCTGGTTTCTCTTAGAAAAGAGCTTCTTCTTCTCGATGGGACAAACCTGGTTAAATAAAAATCAAATGCTTCTGTTGACAAAAAAGGGGGGGTTGACTGGTTGCTCTCTGTGGACGGGAGGACACCAGGCACTCCAACCAATACAAATTCAGAATGAAGAAAGAAATACTGAAAAGGTTCATTATTATAACAGCTTAATCACTTAAAACACCAACCACAGAGGTCTTCATCCTTCATCGTGAAATGTTTCTGTGTTTTTCTGCATGTTGTACAGGTCCAGGACTGATTTTGTCCTGTGCTCTGCCTCTTTCAGCTCAGGGATTTGTGTGTGCAAGACGGGAGTGTACGGACCCAAGTGTGATGACTGCCACCCAGGTTTCTTCCACTTCAGCAGCACGGGGTGCCGGCCCTGCCAGTGCAACAACCACACCAACTACTGCCACCCCCAGTCAGGTGAGTCTGCAGAGGACACACGGAGACAGAGCATCAGAGAGACAGATACACTTACTTTTTAATTTGAGTCCCTAGCTCTGTTTGTCTATAAGAGAGTATAGGAGATCTCTGTGGATTATTCAGCTTTTGGTAATGTCTTAACATGTCCCTGCTTTGCTCTGTATGCAGTGACACGGCTTAAAAAAGTGCAGAGATTAGACTTTAAAGTCACCATGAAACAGAAGTGATGTCGCTGTCCTACTGAAGCCGAATAGAACCAATCACAAGATAGAAGGCGCGACTTAACATTGGGATAAAAATGATTGGATCGTTGAAAAAGTCGGCAAACGTGGTATAAAAATTAGACACAGCTTTTAAATTGGTGGAAAATGAGTAAACACCCGGGGTGCAGGATGAGTCATCAGACATTTGAAACATTGTACAGGTTAGTAAAGTGTAAAAATACTCAGATGATTCTTTATTGAAATATGTTAGACTGATAAATGAACGTTGAACACAGGAACGCCTGTTTAAAATCAGGATCATTTCAAGGGGACTTAAAATGCTAATCCGCTATAGGGGTGTTCTTGAGTAAAAAAATTGAGTCAGCAACTTTCAGGGATCAGCCCTATAATGAGTCTTAACTCCTGACTTTAGTGCAGTTTAATACCTCTGCACTAAATGCTGACGATAACGTGCTGTGTTTGGTGCCAGAGCCTGGGAGCACACAAAACCTCCAGCCCCTCTACAGTCAATATTTACCGATGAAACAGAGCTGAAGTGTGATGTTCAGTTGGATAGAAAGGACTGGCGCTGCATCAGAAGGAACTTTAGAACTGTAGAAAATCACAATCATCCAAATCCTCTTCTGTGTCTTTGATTTTTCATGTGAGGAGGACTTCTGCTCTCTTCTCAGCAGTCAGGCTTTTAAACCTTCAGCTAAGTGACAGGGAGGAGGAAAGGGTTTTTTTTATGGTGGGGGGTAGTTTGAGGAGCCATATGTCTTTCCATTATAATGCGGGGGGGGGGGGGGCAGATGGAGTGCTGTAGCCTTGCCATGGGCTCGGTCTTCTCACTGCTGTGGATCTACATAGCTCAGGTTTGACAGCTCCCTTTAAAGCCTGACCCTAACCTCTCCCCGGAGGCCGCCTGCTCTTGGAACACATTGTGCAAACACAAATTATACAGTATACCAAACACTGTGGACCTCAAATAAACATGACGGGGACTCGTCACTTCCAACAGGACTGAGACAGACTGTCCGCAAACAGTTTTTCGACTGAAACTGCAATCAAATCTAAATACTGAACAAAAGAATGCAGAGAAAAAAGGGATTTCCACTTTTAACCTTTGTTTGTTTTTGAGGGGATTAAACAATCGTAATAAAACTTTTGGATTAGAATATGGTTCAAGATAACAAGATGATGCACAGCAAACAGTCAGTCAGTCAGTCAGTCTGCAATCTATTATTTTAAAATAACATCATTTTAGTAAACAATCGTCTGGTTGATATCAGAGGAACAAGCTGGACTGAGCGGTCTAACTGAAGAGCTCAGCTGAAGACTGCAGGAACAATACTGATAATCTTAAAGAGGAAACTGCTCTGGGGTGTCGGTGGCTTAGTGGTTGGTGTGCATGCTCCATGTACGCAGTCCTCTGAGCGAGTTTGAATCCGACTTGTGGCTCCTTCCCCGCATGTCGTTCCCCTCACTCTCTCTCTCTCTCTCTCTCTCTGATTTTTGACTCTATTTACCCTCCTATCTCTAAAATAAATGTATAAAGAAGCCTCAGAGTAAACCTTTAAAAAAACAAATGCTCTATTTAATGTTGAACTGGTTTGAGTCAGCAGCTGCAGTTGTTGTTGGAGAGGAGAGGAGGAGACCTTTGCCAAAAGATTCAGCTCGACAAATAGATACTTTATTTATCCAGAGGGAAATACTAAAGATACTAAAGGGATCCTAACTTAGAAACCTTCGATCGTGTTGCTGATGGCTCGCTCTCAGCTCCTCCTGACACGGTGTCTGCATCGTGTGTGAAACATGAAACTCATTCAGTGTTTAATTATCTTTATTAAAGGAATAATGCATTCTTGATAGTTCGTAACAGACAACTGCAGTACATGTAAAACCAAAGAGTTTGATAAAGTTGAACAAGTGGTCTTGGTTTTCCTCAGGCTTTGGTCATTATCAGGAGAACAGTCGTTAACAGATTGTATGATTTAAATTAAAAATGGATGTCTCGAGAGAAAATGATATGATGATATTTTGCCATATTGCTCTGTTTTGCTTTTCTCCAGGACAACGAACATACTGTGTTTTAACAACCCTTATTTTAAAGCTGGTGTTTGTGGCGTTCATCAGGGTCATCCAGGCCACAAGCCCAAACACGTCGGTCTAATAAAGTTCTTCTTTAAAGTGTAGCTGCAGCTTTTTGACCTCTTCAAGACTGTCTCACTCTCCATGCTTCTTAGAAGTTGTTGTTTTGTCAGAAAACTCGACTCTTCTTCTAAAAGCTGATATTTCTCATCACACGGTTATGGAGGCCATGATGCATTCACATGAGAAAAAAAAGTGAGCAAATTTTTTATTTTTTCCATAAAAATGCAGATAATAATCTCTGTAATTCAAGAAAACTAAACAGATTTTAATTTCTCATGTGAGTGCATAAGCTCTTTTACCACTGTTTGTTTTAAAAAAAAGCCCTTTCCTCCAGGTGAAAGCCCTCCTCAACCTGTCATTGGCCGTGTAATCTTCAGGTTTAGCTGATTCCACACATTAGCAACTCGTCTGTTGACACTTAGGTGATGATGCATGGTTCGAACCTCCTGTTGCACAAAGCTATAACATAGTGTGCTGCCTGCGGACAGGTTCAGTCACGTCTACATGACACGAGCATGGAGGCAAAACAACTCAACCAAAAACATGCAGTGGAGGCAACACCTTCACAAATATTTACAATTACAACAAATTATGACGTCATGCTGAGGATACAAAAGTATTTTAATGTTATGTAAGTTTGTGTGACGTTGATTACTTCATGTGTTTTTATAAAACCAGAACAAACTTCACATTAATGATCATGAAACAATAGTCTTTGACCTTTAGGTGAAACATGTAACTGATGAGATCGGGTTCAAATGATAAAAACACCTCATGAGTATGTGTTCTTCTTAAAAAATGTTTAATAATACATTTGCATAATGAAGTATGACTTCTTCTATTTTGTATCTTGAACTTAATTTTTTCTCAGAGGTTAAATTGATAAAGTACAACAAATAGACTTCAGGCAACATATTGGAGGTCATTATTGGTCTACCTGGACCCGGGGGCGTGTCCAGACTTTTTTGGACTGGAGTGACCCAACTGGGGTTGAAGCTTCAAGGTTATGTTTATTCTCCCTGTGAGAGGGATATTTGTTTAGCAGTCAGCAGTAAAATACATTCATATAATCAGCAATCAGCATAAAATCAGGAAAAATTCAAATGGACAATAAATAAATACAAATAAAACAGACGAAAGGGGGCCGGGGGGAGATGAGGCGATGGCAGCAGGGACAAAGAGGTTCCTCAGTCTCTTTGTCCTTCATGCAGCAGCTGGAACTTTTTGGACAGAGGATGATTATGATCTGCCAGGACTGACCGGGCCTTCTTCAAGGTCTAAACTCTGTATAAATAAGTAACACACACAATTTCAAACAGGAATAAAACATCTTCATAAAAGTGTTGTCGACGCTTCCAGAGAAAGTGGGCTTTTATTTTATAAACAGCATCAGTTTGAAGCTCAAAGGTCAGTTTGTCCATGATGGACACTGACTTGTGACGGGTCCTGAAGTTTGTGCACACACATGAATGAAGAGCATTTATTTACCCCTCCTGTCTGCACTTTTAAGTAACACAAGATAATGGCATGATATAAATCTTCTTTAAGCTTAACTCTTCAGGGACTCAAAACAATATGTACGTCCAAACTCACTATTTAAAGTATTGAAAACAAACATCTGCACACTGAAAACTACGAGCTGTCTGATGCAACACGGCCTGAAAAGTGGATTTCAACCTCTGACAAGGCAAATAGCCAATGATAGTCTGGGATTTTGGGGTGGTACCTGGGTCTGGACATGCCCCTGCCTGGACCCCAAGGCCTCATCCATCCAAACATACAGTATTTCTCTTTGTTTGAATGTATTTATTGTTCTTCCTCATGAGGCGTCGGACTGTTAATAAGAAATTGATGAAAACAGAAGGAGCTGTCTTTTAACCTCGTGCTGGCTGTTGTTCTTCTTTTAACTTGTCTTCTTTATCTCAATAACTCGTCCTCTTAAGAGAACTGGTAACCCATACCTGGTAATGCTGAGTGTGTGTTTGAATCAGGGTGATCTGATTCATTATCAGTGGGAGAAAAAGGTGAACAGGAAGTCTAACCAGCTGATCAAAGATAGTAAAATACTGAATTTCCTAATCCTATTCATCCTGATGCAGATGAAACGTTTTGTAGTACAGAGCTTTGAGGTCGATGTGTGAATACAATTAGACAATTTCCCCGTCACAGGAAATCAATAAATTAAAAAAATAATAATAATCTTAAAAACCTTAAACAACTAAACCTTTCATTTTTATCAACAAAGGAGGCCGAGTTTTCAAACCAACGTATCTCCCATGTTGTGTGCAGTTCAAACACTCCTGTAATCACTTTGTTCTGTCCTCCAGGTGTGTGTCTGAACTGTGAGGGGAACACGCAGGGATCCAACTGTGAGGAGTGTAAGCCTGCTTTCTACCGCAGCCCTGGACCCGGAACCGCCCTGACCGAAGCCTGTGCACCCTGTCCCTGCTCCAACTCCACCTCCACCGGCACCTGTCACATCGGTCAGTCCCTGCTGCTCACACACACATTTCATATTTCACTCTTGAAGGAAAAAAAATATAACACGAGCAGAACATGATGATGTCTTCAAAAACATCCTCCACTCTCTCACTGGACTGGAGCAGTGCTGTAAACACCTGTAAGTGGCAGCATGGTGTCCGTTATCTAAAAGAAAGGTAGTCAAAGGAAGATGTGGTAACATGAGCAGAAGACGAGGTTCTATGTATCTGCTTATCTTCTTTTTTTTATAACACAACACACTACTGTGTCAGAATCAAGGTGAGGGATGAATGTCAGCAAGCAAGAAGCTCTCTGTTCTTAAGAATCAACTAAACAGGGAAACACTCCGGTCCATTCACTTGCTATAGTTGCCTTACTTTTGTTTTGGTAACATGTTGCCATACATGCATGTTACCTTCTCCTGAAAAAAACATATTTACTGAGGTATCCTGGTTTGATCCGGGGTATAAGGAGAAGGTATGAAGATCCAGATGAAGATTTCTTTGAAAGCAGGAAGGTCAACTAGAATTGACGCGGGGACTATTTCCTTTAAAGGGGACTTTAAATCGCTCGATCGGGCTCGAAATGTTGAGTTCCTTAAATGCAAATAGCAAATAAATAAGTATATATTTTGGAGCCATAGTGTTGCGAGTCTTTGTTTGCATCATGACTTTGATCTTCAGACATAACCGGGCTTGTTTAAAATTAAAACAGATGTCTGTGTGGTTTCAATCTCCTCACATAACTCCCTGCCAGAAAGCCAATTAGTGTATTTTATTGTAATAAAAGTGTGTATTTACTTTATGAACTATTTAGTGTTCATTACTTTTGAATCAAAGTTGTTATTTTCCCGATGAATTGATTGAGATTATTTAGTCTATAAACTGTCAGCTCCCCAGGTGATGTCTTCAAATCAACACAATCAGATCATTTCCCTTCGAGCACGTAATAGGTTAATGAACTTATCGCCTCAGCTCTGGGTAAACTCTGATTGTTGTTCAGCTTGAATTGTTCAGCATTCAGGAGCTTTAGAGATTAAATCACAGCACAAACAGTGATCACAACTGAAACCTCAAATCAGATCTGACAGTGAAGAAAACGACTTTTCTTACTTTTAAAGAACATCGACATGAACAGGTCACAGACATGAAAACCTGAAAATCAAGCCTTTGTTTGGGATCTCTCTTCATGAAGAGATTTTAAACATCTGCCTCCTGATCCACCTTGATTTGTGTGCACGTTTAAAAAAGGTGGATTTGTAAGTGGAGGTTGGCTCTGACATGCATTCATGCCCTCTTATCGTTAAGGTAAGACAAAATACTGAAGAGAAACTAAACTGAGGTGCTTTCTGGATCTCTCTGGAAATACCCGTGACCTCCCTGTATGACCCCACCTCCTCCACCTTCAGGCTGCTGCTGCCCTACTTACATGACTCACCCAGGGGTCTCTTTGAGGTTGAGATCTGGGTTGAACTACTGTCTTCTAACACATCTCAGTCCTGCCTCAAACATTATTTTAACACAGATTAACAAGCCATATAGAGGGCTGCACCTGGTGAAAAAGAAAGCTTTAAGGTACAACAGGAGTTTGATGTATGACAGATAAATGTTTCCACCATCAGAAAACGTCATGCTGAAGATTCTTATGTTCGAGTTCCTGCCTGCTCCGACATGTCACAACAGACACGAGAGTTCACCAGAGCAGGCAGGATGTTTCCCAGTAACGTCGAGATTTACGGGATGATGTTTGCTTTCAGCTGTACACACCAGTTATATTGAACTTGTTGCTAAGTTACCAAAGTCAACAACAAAAACAACACATGTAAGTTAAGAAAGCTTGTTTTCGTTCTGCTTTATTCATATTTTTGATGTGGCAGATTAAACAAAATTAAAAGAAACTATCAAGGTTCCTCTACAATGTTTCCAGAAGCCAAAGTTATGTCTTAAAAAAAAAAAAGTTTCTTGGATAAGTGAGCTTACTATATGATCAGACATTAAGGAAACATGCTCTGTGCTGGCTTCTCTGACAACAATGCAGCAGCCAGTATGTCCTCTTTCTAACTTTAGATTCTGCTCCTGAATGCTCTGGATTTGTTTGGACCAGAGAAGGTAGGCGCTTTTAAAGTCACCCCCCACACAGCCGTTTTGGACGCCCCTCAGTTTACCAGATATGAGAGCAGTTATCAGGTCAAACCAACAGGTGTTGCAGTGATGGAAGCAGACAAGAGAAGTGGTTCAGATAGAAGTGATTGTACCCGACCTAAAAAGCCTCTGCATGTTTCTAATAAGCTCCATGAGCAGAAACGTGCTCAAACTAGGATCAATGTTGGAGATGTTTTTGAAAAATGGAGAGAGGTTAGAACACAGAAAGGTTTACAGACCCATGCAGAGCTGGATAAACACTGAAGCTACAGTGTTCACCACATGGTGACCTGTGTGAGCATCAACTCTCGAGAGGGGGGGAGTCAGTTCTCTACAATGTTTTGAATTTGGACTGCAGTACCCATTTTACACACTAGGTGTCAGAGTTACATACTGCTCCTTTAATAGTCAAACCCTTTGACTTTTATTACATTTTTCGAGCATCAGGGAAAAAAATACATGTCAGAATTTCTTTTAAACCCTAACCCAATGGCAACAAATCACACATGAAAGGACTGAAATAATCTAGCTTTGACTTTTTGCCTTTATTAATTCTAGTCATTGATGATCAGAAGTAGCTGTTGTTAATTTTCTGTGGGTGGATATATTTCTGAACAATTTTACCAGATACACCAAAGATCCAGACTCAGACTGAAGGAGTTTAGATTTTTTTACCCGATTCACTCCTCCCTGAAATCCATGGACAAATCTGATTTGGGACCTTGGTCTGAATTAATGTTAGGCCTGGATTATCTGGTAATATGAGGGATTTACAGATAGAGTCTTAACCCTCTTGAAAAACTCATCGGGACAGTACTGGTACGTCTTAAATATTCAGGATTTAAAATCTGTAGGATTAAGTCAGTACTTCTCTTTTTTTTAAGGTTTTTTTTGGGCCTTTATTTAGAGACAGGACAGTGGATAGAGTCAGAAATCACAGAGAGGGGGGAATGACATGCAGGAAAGTAGCCACAGGTCGGATTCAAACCCAGGGCGCCCAAATGTACATATGGGCCTAGCACTAACAACTAGGCAACCGGCACCCCCAAGTCAGTGCTTCTGAATGGGACAATGGCCAACAAGGAAAGGGTCTACAAGGTCTAACTTTAGATGTTATATAGTTGTTGACGTCTGATAAGACATTTAAAATCTCACATCCAGTTCATGATCAAATTCAAGATTAAAGATTCAGTTTATTTGTAAATGGTAAATGGACTAGAGCTTTTCTAGTCTTCTAACTACTCAAAGCGCTTTTAGAATCAGAATCAGAATCTGTGTTCTTTGACTAGTACTTTTACACATACAAGGAATGTGACTTGGTGTTTTAACAGCAGAGCTCCTGCTGACAGCTTGAATAGAATAAGATACAAATATACAAATAAAAAGGCTATTAGAAAAGAAAGTACCGGTAATAGAATATAAAATATAGAAACAAAATGTGCAGGTATGTTCAAGATAGAGTGCAGTGTAAACAGAAAACCACTTACACTTACTTTACACCGCACGTCACACCTACCTATTCACACACTGATGGCACATTCATACACCACTGATGAAGCAATTCAGGTTTAAGTGTCTTGCCTAAGGACACATCGGACATGTAGCTGCAGGAGCTGGGTATTGAACCCTCCACCTTCCGGTTGAGAGACGACCGACTCTACCAACTGAGCCGCCCTCAATCTGTCATTCTCATGTGTCTGGAGACATCAAAAAGACAAAATGGTGTTCCCCCAGCCCCGGGCAGTGTGACATCAATCAACCTAAACATCTACTGAGCAATAAAATCTGTTTTAAAAATACGCTACAACATGGACTAAAAAAATGACTTTGTTGAAAGTATGTCTGCGACAATTTTCTCCTCCAGACTTATTCATCCTTCTGCTTTTCTTTTTTTATTTATCACTACAAAATGTTACTAGAGCAGGAGGTTTCTTCTTATAATTGTTCATTTGTTCACATCTGCGGCCCCCGGATAACCAACACTGAAAAATCTTATGATGACATCATTAACCGTGTGATGCATCATTATTTTTTATATGCCGAGTTGTGTGCACGTTTTGAGATCAGGGACATAAAAATTGTGAGAGTTCTCATCATGTTTTTGATGCAGCCTGTTGTAAGACTCATTTAGACTCACCTGACGTCTGAGCCCAGCTGCTAACCAATATCCTGTTATCATAAGACCTTAATTACAGTGTGGTTAGGAGCCATGTTACGCCCCAGTCTGTGTGTCCTCAGCATCTAATGGTTTCAGTCCACCTGGCTCCAACATCACGGTGTGACACGGCGGCTTACATCGCAGCTTATCGTCGTCAATCGGCTCTTGAACCCTTTCTGCAAACTGCCCGCTGAGGTTTCCATTAAGCATTGCATCACTGCGTTCACTTAACATGGATATTCTTCATCACACTTTCTCTCACCTCACCCTTCCTCTGTCTGGACCAATCAAATGACGGCGTTGCCATGTCCCGACGCCCTCCTGCGCGGCGGCCTGCATGGCAACAGCCTCGTGTAGACGCACTTATGCTGTCAGGTTATGTTTGCTTGTACCAGGGGCTGCAGAGGAGGGGAGGGGAAAGGGACACAAACCAGGCTGAGCTGAGCTGGGACAGCATGAACACAGCTGGGCCATTTCAGCGCCAGTCAGGCAGCAACAGACTGGGGAGGGGGGGGGGGGGGGGGGATGGGCCGCATCACATCCTCTGTTTAGAATGAGAAACCATAGGAAGCGAGGACATGATCATAAATATGCCCTGAATCAGGTCCACAGAGAGCTGCTCGTGTTAATCGAGTGTGTGTGTGTGTGCCTGTGCTGGATGTTTTTAAGAGCAAACCCTGGAAGTGGAAAAAGAAGCAGCCCCTCAAGTGGAGGTTGCCCTGGCAACAGTGACAGATGAGAAGATGCCACAATGCAGTATCGGAGCTCCACACCGGAGGATGGATGCTTTCTAAATGTGCTGATGAGGCCTGTTGCAGTAAATGAATACCCCCCCCCCCTCCACTGACACACACACACACACAGAGGTGAAATGGAGTATTGCACCAGTTCAGAATGTGGGTCACACATGTTAAATCATGCTTGTATGATGGTTTCTGTACTCAGTGCTGTACCAGGGGCTCGTTCAGTTTATCCTGAGGTACATGAGATCATTTCAAAACATTTTCTGGAGTCTGTTTCACTGTTTTCTTTATGCGTGTGTGTCTGATAGTGCTCACCTGGTCAGGTGTTAAGGGGCCTTTATGTGTGTCATCAAAGTGGATGACAACAGGAAGACAAAAAGAGGTCATGTCCTCCAGGCCTTGTGCAGAGCAGCTCGTCTTTCCTCCTGGTTATATAACCCAGCAGGCCGGCTGCCTTTGAACCTCCAGCAGAGGTTAAGTCAAGCTTATCAGGAGCAGCCTGTTCAGTGCTGGAATACAAACGCAGTCATGTGACCGCCAACATCTAGGCCAATGGAAGGCAGTTATCTGTGTCTAAATCATTCAGCAATTAGGACTGTGCTGAGGAGAGTCTCCGTGCAGAGCATCACTCAGTGCACGGAGCTGCACAGGAATCATTTCCACAATCAGCTATTTGCCAAAATCCTGTTAGCAAAGGTGGACAGTAACAAAGTGAATCTACTTGAGAATTATTTTTTCGGGGGAAACTTGTGACTTTTGACTCCACTACATTTCTATGACTGTCTTGTTAGTCAGCTGATGATTTTATTTTATTTTCTAAAATTCCATAAGAAAGACTAAAGCAGTGCTTGTGTGGTTCTGCATGTGGTCTGTCTAAGTGGGGTTGCCTTACCTTTACGCGGTGCATCTCCATGGTTGAACGCAGAGTAAACGTCAAACAGAGCAGACAGTTTATTTATTGAAACAGAGAGGTTGTCTTTTTATATATTTTAGTTAATGTTGGGTGCTAACAACGCTGCAGAGAAGTGAAAAAGAGGCAAAGGGAGCTTTAGCAGCATCAGGAATAAGAATAAGCTGCACAAATCTCACAGTTCAAGAGGCCCTGCACCGACTGAAATGTCTCTTTAAAAACATTCACTGCCTGGCTCACAGTTCCCATTAGCTCATCAGGTATTTTTGGTTGTTCCTATTATTTCTCTTCTGCACTCACTCCTTAAAACTGTAAACAAAGAGATTAAAAAGACAAAGGTAGAAAAGGAAGTCTTGGCCTGGATGTCCTGCATGAGATTGTTGGGTATTGTAATCTCCTTTGAAGGCAAAATCTCTGGGACATGATCACCTTGGGTTTCCAGATTGGCCAAAAACAAACACATGGGAATTATATATTTATATATTTAAAAAAGAAGGTGAAAGATATTTATATATTTATGTGTCGACGTAAAATTGTTATGTCATAGCAGACAGTTCCTGTATAGACCAATGTTATATCCGTCATGTGGAAGATACGTCGGCTACTGTGACTTCCTGTTTAAGCTCCTGTGAGGAACTTTCATGTTGTGTCTATTTTGGCGACAAAAGCAGGATCATATTTATCCATTCCATCTCGGCCTGTGTGATAAAACAACAACGCTAATGGCGATATAACTTTTCACAGAGTTTTCCAGCACTGAGCTTATGACTGTTCAAATAGAGTTTGTCATGCTGTGACAATAAAGAATAATTAACAATTAACCATCTGGTTTCTTCAACTTTCACTCAGGAGCAAAAAAACAGACTTTTAAATTTGAAAGAAATAGTGAAGGACATTTATCTGGATAGTTATCGATATCGACTGATATGAACATTTGTATCCTGATGATATTTTAAGTCATCTAGCTTTCCTATTCGGTCTTTATCCAGACGGAAGTTTGCATGAATTTGGAGAATCTGAAAAATATTTCACACGTATTTTTATTGATCAGAAACTAGAAAGACAATAAACTCCGGCTCATACTTCAAGGTAAAATGAATATTGCATAACCCAAAATCTATGCAACAGCACGGCCAGCATGAGCATTTAAAAACCTCCTGAATAAGACGACTGTTTGTTAGCATGTCATGCTCAAACAGAAGAGACATCTATAAATGCTATTAGAAGCTATCCTTTGGGACACGGTGCTGCGGCGTAAACTATAAGATGTACTGTTGATCACATTTGCATCATGTTACCAGGAAGAAGAGGGTGCAGGAGAAAGCGGACCCTTTTTAAACGACCTGTGTACATTACTGATGAAGAACCTCGTAAGGAAGTGCGATGGATTCAAAGTCCACGACGCTCCACTTTTTAGATCTTATTCATGTGTGATCTTCTCAGAGCCGTGGAGAGGCGTCCAAAAAAATGATGCATGTGAACAGTGTGGAGATCAGTGACGAGTAAATGGAAAGCGAAGAAAGACATCAGCATTGCTTCAGTAGAATCCTCCAGGCAGCTTCAGGGTTATGATACCATTACATACACTTTATTATCCCCTTGGGGAAATGTGTCTTGGAGTCCAAGTGCTGCCAAACAATCAGCTGCTTCCACTAGAATCAATGAAAATAAACAATATAAAAAAACACATCCACTTGTAAACAGAAAGGCACAGACCAATGTAAAAACAAGATATCTGCAAAAACACAGCATGAGATATAAGATAACAAAGGTAAGAAAATATTAAAACATAGAGGAAAACCATGGAGAACCAACACAACCTCACAAACATTATTCTGAATTTTGATTGGTATGGGAACAAAATAATCTTTAAAGCAGTTCTTTAAAGATTTAAACTGAACTGAAAAGAGAGGTTACCGTACCACGCTGACATCCCGTATCTAAGGATACTCTCCTACACGGCTTGATAAGACAAAAACATGATCTTATGGTCGACACAAAACACCCAGAGTCTATGTCAGAAGTACAGTCTTTGCCGTAAACGAGAACACAAATGATCCACATGAGTTATCCAGATTCCAGGTTATCTAGGTGTAGACCTGTAGGAGGTAACCTGGTTGATTCTTCTGTCATGGATAAAAAAGAGGGTTATGATAAACACATACACATGGAAACAGAAAGGCACATACCAACAACACCATCTATATTGCACAAGATATCTGCAAAAACACAGCATGAGAGATAAGTTATCAAAGGTAAGAAAATATAAAACGTAAAGGAACGCCAGGACGCTTTTGGACAACCCACACAGCCTTAAGAAACATTATTCAGAATCAGAAGATTTTCCTTCATGTTGAGAGTTTAAATGTTTTGATCCAGACTTAAAGGATGAGCTGCATTCATCCAGAAGATGTTCCCTAATTTGGTGTTTTCATCGTGGAGACAAGTCAGTCCAAAAGATGTTTGGTAGAGATCTGCTGACGTATTCCTCTCTAACAAAGCAAGATGTGTTCATAACTATTCATGACAATAAAGCCAAAAAATGTCAAACAGTTGAGGGTGAACTTCCTAACTGTTCACTATGAGATTATTTTTTATTCTTCACAGTTTGTCTTTATACTCTGTACGGTCTAAACTTCATTGTCTGAAAGCTCAAGTGTCAAGTTCAATACTGTGATGAAAAATATATTCTCATCTTTTTTTTTAAGTAATTTTTTTGGGCCTTCTTGCATTAATTGGACAGGGCAGCTGAAGAGAGAGAGGAAAAGTTGGGAGGAGAGAGAGTGGGGGGATGATATGACAAAAGGGCCGAGGTCAGACTTTAGCCTCTGTACATGGGGCGCACAAGACATTATTATTAGGCTAGTTCCAATACAATTCTCATCATTTTGACGTCAACACATTTTCACTTTACTCACAACGTGGTGTCATAATTCTCAAACTCTGGCCTTAATTCCTAGAATGCAAAAAAACATAGAACATTTTGTTGTCAAACCAAACACACACACAAGTTAGACTTTTCTTCTTGACTTTACACTTTTTCTCATTGCTTTTGTCTTTATGTCTGTCTGAAATGGTTTGACTTTTTCAGGCTAACAGGGTAGAAAGCTGCTTTCTGTGGATAAAACACGACTCTCTATCATGATCCATATCCTGTCATCTGGAGCCCCCTTGTGGCTTATTAAAATCATGCTGTTCATTCAGAAAACCGCATGCATGTTTGGATGGGTCTCCCTACAACTCGATCTAAAAGCTTAAACTTTACATCAAAAAAATATTTTACTATATATATATATATATATATATATATATATATATATCATACACTGATTGATGAAAACATTTTTTGTTTTCTGTGAATAAAGCACAAAAATAAGAAGGGGTAGGACCAAGTTTTTAACTTCTTACTATCCCTTTTGAACATGAACTATATTATGAGTTATTTTTTTGTTGTTATGGATCCTGAGGATCCAGTTTGTTTGTTTTTTATTTTGTGTAATAATAATAATAAATAAATAAAATAATAATAATATCTTGTAAATAATTCCTGTGACTATACTTGTGCTCCAACCTTTTTTTAAATCAAACACCAGGAGAGCTTAAGAAGGAGTGGTATCATATCATTAGTCTAATGATGTAGCTGTGTGATTGGCTGTTGTTACGCTAAATGTGCGTCTTCTCTTGTTCCTGTGCAGATCCCAGTGGCTCCCCGGTGTGTGACCAGTGCCTTCCTCGGTACAGCGGCCCGCAGTGTGACCAGTGCAGCAGGTTTCTACAAATCCTCGGGGGTTTGTGTTCCATGTGACTGCAGCGGGAACGCAGACCCTCAGGGCCCCGTCCAGCTCTGTCACCCCGACACCGGCAACTGCCTTCGCTGCGTCAACAACACCACGGGGCCCCAGTGCCAGCTCTGTGCTGCGGGCTTCATAGGGGACGCCCGAGCACACAACTGCACCCGCCCAAGTAAGGATGAACAGCATCAGAATGTTTGCTTGAACAGAGGATATCATTTCATACTTAATGTGATGTACGTTTTTATTTCCTGTGCGAGGAAGTACCTGAACGGTATCATGGATATACTATAGACCAGACTGTTGTTAGAGAGGTACATGTGAAATCCTTTTTATGACTGAGGCCGAGCTCCAAGTGGACTTTTCAGTTATCCCTATAGTGAGACAGTGAGATCAAGCTGGTCAAAGTGATCAAAGACGGGGAGGAGAGAGAGAGAGAGACAGACTTCCACTTGAAACATTTTCCCATTTTGATATGATTTTTGTGTGGAATTAGTGAAATGGGTCCAAAGACATAAGTGTTTTGTTGGAGTTGTGCCTGCAGAGGGCGCTGTTGTGCAGATGAGTTTAGTGATTGGATTGAGTGCAGGTGCATGTGAAATCCTTTTTATGACTGAGGCCGAGCTCCAAGTGGACTTTTCAGTTATCCCTATAAGGTCTAAACCCTCGAGCTGTTTACTGACATTGAGGACTTTTATGTTGGCTGAACATTTCACCTTTGTTTCATCATCAGCTGGTTGGTGGATGGGATTAATAATCCAACATGCAGGAGTTTTCACACCACAGCATACTGTCTTGCGTACTGCAGAATGCGAGCAGTTGTAGGATATGTTATTTTTGGCATTTTGCTTTTTAAATATATGTATAAAGATACAATAAACCCTAAAGCTATGCAACAACACAGCTAGCTTTGTATGCCTTTATTTAAAGACAGGACTGTGGATAGAATCAGAAATGGGATAGAGAGAGAGAGAGAGAGAGAGGAGTGACATGCGTCATGCGGGAAAGGAGCCACGGGTCAGATTTGAACCTGGGCCGCCCACCTGGAGGACTTTGGCGTCTCAAATATACTTAATTTTACAGTGCACTAAGGTTACTACCTACCACAGTCACTGTTGAAATATGTGAAGTGGTACATGAGATGAATATTTTTTGTTTAATTCTGACGACTTTTTGAGGGATTCTTTTATTTTGACATGACTGAAAGGCGTAATAGGAAACCTAAAGTGTACTTTATTCAAGAATCCCTGTAGTGCTACATAAAACGTAAAAGTTGAATTACATTTTGTCCCTGAACTAAACTCAGATTTTTTCTTTCCTCAGCACCGCGGATTGTTCCCACACCAGTTGCTGCAACCACAACAACAGAGGCCCCCACGTCGAGCACACCCCACCCCTCCACGCCCACCACCAGCACCACTTTGACCTCCACGGCGAGAGGCCGCCCCGCCTCCACGTCCAGCGGCAACACGAGCAACGCGCTGAGCACCGCTGCCACCACTCAGGCCCTGCTGACTAGCCTGAGCAGCCCCACTGACAACACCACGGCCGCCCTGACCGAGGTCTCCTGGACCCAGTTCAACATCATCATCCTGGCCGTCATCATCCTGGTGGTGCTGCTGCTCCTGGGCTTTGTCGGAGGCGTGTACACCTACCGGGAGTACCAGAACCGCAAGCTTAACGCCCCCTTTTGGACCATAGAACTGAAAGAGGACAACATCAGCTTCAGCAGCTACCACGACAGCATCCCCAACGCTGACGTGTCGGGCCTGCTGGAGGACGAGGCCAACGAGGTGGCGCCCAATGGCCAGCTGGCCCTCACCACGCAGGGCAACTGCTACAAGGCTTAGCACGGCATCTATCCCAAGACTAGCACAGCCAGATGTACCGACGACACAAAGCTGCTGGAAAGTACCAAATCCAAAGCTCCACATGTTTGACTGCTTTTTTTTGCCCTGCTGGTCTGCAGCACTTCCCAACACGTTTTCCAACTGACGGTGAGATCAAGCTGGTCAAAGTGATCAAAGACGGGGAAGAGAGAGAGAGACAGACAGACTTCCACTTAAAACATTTTCCCATTTTGATATGATTTTTGTGTGGAATTAGTGAAATGGGTCCAAAGACATAAGTGTTTTGTTGGAGTTGTGCCTGCAGAGGGCGCTGTTCTGCAGATGAGTTAAGTGATTGGCTTGAGTGCAGGTGCACACATACACCTGTCTGCTGAAACACAAAGTTAAGAGGACTCGCGGGCAGCCTAGCATTTCAGATATTTTTAAAGAAAATGGACTTCAGACTGTTTAAGTTATAACCGGATCACTGGAGCAGTGGTCTTAAACCTGAGACAATGATTGTTATTTAATGAATTTTTTATTCTGCTATTATTTATTGGTTGATGTTTTCATTCTCGGGAGAAATGCTGCACATGTAAGACGTGTTTATTCATGGTGTTTTATCTGATGTGCTGTCGAAATAGTCATTTGAATTGGCCAGTATGTTTTTTTATGTATAGTTTCTGTGATTTTGGAGAGAGTCGTGGGGGGGTGTAAGGCTGCTGGCACGAGCATTGTGATGACCTCCTCTTTTGTTAATAGCTTCCTGTCTTTTTTTTTTTTTTCTAAGTGTGCCAGCTCACCTTGAAGTATCTTAGAGGAGTGTTTCGTTTTTCAGGAACTACTACAAACTCGCACTGCTGCAAGGGCAGTGACTCATCCTCCTCGGCTCGCGGAACACCACCACAATCGACTCGCTTATCTAATCTGCTCTTTGCTGTCTACCTCAGCAAAAGTTGAACAAACCATTTACAAATGCTTATGTCAAGGGTTGGGTTTGTGACTCGGGTGTCCGATGGTAAGAGCGTCCCAATCTCCTACAATCAAGTTGCATCAGCTCAAAGAGGGATTTGCTGTCGGAGTGATGGACTCCAAAGCTTCCCTCCTGGTCCTGGACGCGGATCCTTGTTTTATGTGTTGTTTGGATTAGCATTGGTTGGGTGCGCTTCATTTAACCACAGTGAATGAGTAGAGCTAATTATGGAACTAACTCCTCAGGTACTGGCTCTTTCCCTAATGTGATCACTGTAAATATAATTATTGTACAGATGAATGTGAATAGTAGCACTATTATTGTACAGCTAGAATACTGTGTACACTGTCACTCGACAAGCTCCCGACCTTTCACTCTGTCCCGGCTGGGTGTGACGTCGCAGTCAGCCCACAGCTTTTTGTAATTTCTATTTGATTTCTTATTCTCAGCCGACTATGCCATGAACACAGCTGCAGGACTACAAAATGCACCACCCACGTCACAAAACCAAGAATACGATGATGTAAATAATCCCCCCAAAAGTCAAAGCTCAACTCTCCAATAAAAATGGGTTTAACTGTTGTGTTGGTTTCTCTCACTGTTTTTTTAATTTTTTATTTGATCACTGTCACAGATTGTTCTGGCAGGCCGTCAACCAACGATCTTGAGGAGCCTAAGAGAGCTCAAGAGCTCTCAGGAAAGTAGGTGGTTAGTGACTGAGATTTACAGATAGATAAATGCAGTAGTATGATGTACTGTATATGCACAGAGAGAGAGGAGCTCAAGGTGCCAGTTCCCCCGGTAGTCTAAGCCTATAGCAGCATAACTAAGAGCTGGTCTACACCAGCACTAACTATAAGATTTATCAAAAAGGAAAGTTTTAAGTCTATTCTTAAAAATACAGACTGTGTCTGCCTCCCGGACCCCGGCTGGAAGGCGGTTCCAGAGGAGAGGAGCCCGATAACTGAAGGCTTTACCCCCCATAGTACACTTGGAGACTGTAGATACTACCAGCAGGCCTGCACTCCAGGACCGCAACGCTCTCGAGGGACAGTACGGCACTAGTAGCTCCTTCAGCCATTTAGAGCTTTGTAGGTGAGAAGAAGGATCTTGAATTCTATTCTAGACTGTATAGGGAGCCAGTGCAGAGAAGCCAGGACAGGAGTGATGTGGTCCCATTTCCTGGTTCTGGTCAGTACACGAGCTGCAGCGTTCTGGACCAGTTGAAGAGTCTTTAGAGATTTGCCAGAGCACCCTAACAAAAGAGAGTTACAATAATCCAGTCTGGAGGTAACAAATGCATGAATTTTGCGACAGGATATTCCTAATCTTGGATATATTACGAAGGTGAAAATAGGCTGTTCTTGAAACTTGACTAATGTGAGAGCTAAAAGACACATCTTGATCAAAAAGAACTCCTAGATTCCTAACAGTGGTGCTAGATGCCAGGCTGATGTCACTAAGGACAATCAAATCACTAGAAAAAGTATCTCTGAGGTTCTTAGGGCCTAGCACAATAACTTCAGTCTTGTCTGAGTTAAGGAGCAAAACATTTCTGGTCATCCAGGTCCGAACGTCCTTAAGGCACGTTTCTAGCTGACATAACTGACTGGTGCCATCGGGCTTCATTGATACATAAAGCTGAGTATCATCTGCATAACAATGAAACTGTATGGAGTGTTTCCCCATAATATTTCCCAGAGGAAGCATATATAATGTAAAGAGAATTGGTCCAAGCACTGAACCTTGTGGGACTCCATGGCAAACTTTAGTGTGCATAGAGGACTCATCATTAACATGTACAAACTGAGATCGGTCTGATAAGTAGGATTCAAACCAACTTAAAGCAGTCCCTGTAATTCCAAGCAAATGCTCCAGTCTGTACAACAGGATCCGATGGTCAATGGTGTCAAAAGCAGCACTAAGATCTAACAAGACGAGCACAGACAGAAGTCCCCTGTCTGAGGCTAGAAGTAGATCGTTTGTAACTCTAACTAGTGCAGTCTCAGTGCTATGGTGGACTCTAAATCCTGACTGAAACTCCTCAAATAAACTGTTGTCATGGAGAAAGTCACACAGCTGTTTAGCTACCACCTTCTCCAGGATCTTCGAGAAAAAAGGAAGGTTGGATATAGGCCTGTAGTTAGCCAGAGTTCCTGAGTTCAGAGTAGGCTTTTTAAGTAGAGGTTTGATTACCGCTACTTTAAATGCCTGGGGTACATATTGCCAGTAAAGACGAATTGATCCTATCTAATATAGAGTTGCTAACTAAGAGAAAGACTTCCTTAAACAGCTTGGTTGGGATTGGGTCCAAAACACAGGTTGACGGTTTCGACGCAGAAAAAATGGAATATAGCTCTGAAAGGTCGATTGGAGAAAAACAGTCGAGACTAATATCTGGTCCTGGAACTGTCTCTGCCGTATCAGACGTATCCGCACCAGGCAAGGGCAGGAGGTTACCAATTTTGTCTCTGATGTCTAGAACTTTGTTGTTGAAAAAGCTCAGGAAGTCATTACTACTGAGGGCTAGAGGAATACAAGGCTCAATGAAGCCATGACTCTCTGTCAGCCTGGCTACAGTGCTGAAAAGGTATCTAGGATTGCCTTTGTTTTCCTCAATTAGAGAGGAGTAGTAGGCAGCTCGGGCGTGACGTAGAGCCTTCATATATCTTCTATGACTATCCTGCCAGAATAAACGAGATTCTACCGTTTTGGTCGAGCGCCATATTCTTTCAAAATTCCGCAACGATTGTTTTAGAGTACGGGTTTCTGAGTTGAACCATGGAGCCACTCTCCGCTGCTTGACAACCTTCTGTTTCAGGGAAGCAATCGAATCCAGAATAACTCTCAGCGAATACACTGCACTATCAACAAACTGATCTAGTTGAGAGGGCCTAAAGCTATCATAAGAGTTTCCAACTGGGTTGAAACACAGTACTGAATCAAAAACAGCTGAAAAAACGTCCTTAAATCTAGCAACAGCACTATCCGACAAACTTCTAGAGAGCACACCTCTTCCAGGCAGAAGTAATTCTGGTAGGACAAAATCGAATGTAATAAAAAAAAAGGTCTGATAGCAGAGGATTTTCTAGGAAAACTGTAAGGTTATGGATTTCAAAGCCATAAGCTAAAACAAGATCCAGGGTGTGGTTAAAACGATGAGTAGGTTCGTTTACCACCTGGGTGAAACCAATAGAGTCTAATAGTGACATGAAAGCTGTGCTCAGGCTATCATTATCAACATCCACATGGATAGTGAAGTCACCTATAACTATTATTCTATCACTGCTCAGGACTGAATCTGATCAAAATTCTGCAAATTCAGATAGAAACTCAGAATATGGGCCAGGAGGACGGTAAACTACAACAACTAGAACTGGCTGAAAGGTTCTTGAGACTGGATGTGAAAAACTAAGAACAAGGCTTTCAAAAGAAGAAAAATTTTAGTTTTGGTCGAGGGTTAACTAGAAGACCAGAATTAAAAATAGCTGCTACTCCACCACCTCGTCCGGTGTCTCGAGGTATACGAGTACAAAAATGACTGGGAGGAGTGGATTCATTCAAACTAACATATTCATCTTGACACAGCCAGGTTTCAGTCAAAAAAAGTAAATCAATAAGCTGATCTGATATCAGATCATTCACTAAAAGAGATTTGGATGCTAAGGACCTAATGTTCAAAAGTCCACAGTGAATATAAACTCATTTAAAAATAGATTCATTTACAAACTTACGAAAAAGGAACTAAAAAAAAAAAAAAAGAAGAACTCAAACAAGCTTCCTTTACAAAACAAACATAAAAACAACTATTACGAGCAAACTAAGGCCTCATGGATAAACCCAAAGACGGATTACTCTGAAGTTTCCCAACATCAAGTCTCTGTTACGAGCGGTTGGAAAAACAAGGGAGGGGGACCCAAATGTCGATACCAAAAACATTTAATTGAACAGAAAGGCCAAAGGCAACAAAAGTCAATTCCAAAAGTTCAACAAAATACACAGGAATCAAAAACAGGCAGCCACAGAGGCGCACGAGCAAAACTGACATTCCAACAACACACAACATACACTGAACTGACACAGAGGGGATGAAACACAGAGACTAAATAGACATAGGGGTAATCAAACACAGGTGAGACTAACAAGACACAGGTGAGGACAATCAGGGCATTCACACTGAGAAACACAGAGGCAGGAATACAAGAAACACTGAGGACAACTACAAACTAAATCATGAAACACCCAGAACTCAAGAATAATAAATCACAAAACAAAACAGAAAACACTGAAGACAAAACTAGGAAACACACAAGGGAAAAACCAGCAACACTAGGGAATATTAACACAAGGGAAACACGCAACACTGGTATAAAACAGGGAAACCCAAATACAAAACCAAATCATGACAGTCTCCTGAGCACACTTGCAGCCAAATGACTCGCTGGCAGCTATCTGCCTCCTCTCCTACACAACACTAAGGCGTAATGTCACAGCACAAACACACACTTCTTTACGTTGTTGTTGCCAACCAATTAAACGGCTAATTGTGTGCACGTTCTGTTTGTGAAACAGCATTAGACCAATGCTGGAGGCATGTCTGATTATTTTAATGGTTTTCCTGGGGTCTAACTCACATTGCCAAGGTCACATTTGAAATGAGAATGAAAACCCCTTCAAGAGCAGGATGCAGGGATGCAGACTTATTCATTTTCTAAATTTTGTACCTACCCTATTTAAGCTATGTTTGCAATCTGTTTCTTGATGACCCTGATGAAGGCCATGAGCCGAAACGCTACTAATTTGTTATAAAGTTGATGAAGGATTAGGGCCACGTTAAAATGTTTTATTCTTTTTTAATTATGAGATTAAAGTTGTAAATTTATGAGAATAAAGTCGTAAATTAACGAGTTTAAAACCAGCCTGCGCAAAAGGTTGAAAGTAGAACTCTTAAAGTCTTTTCCTCTGCAGAAAACTTCCTCCAAGTCAGTGTGGTTCTTTCTTCAGTTTCTTGCAGTATCTTTTTAGGGTGCTGATATTTTATGACAATGTGAAGATGATGATGTGCCAAAAGCATGTGTAGTTTCATATCTGCATAAGTAAAGCTCCAACACAACTATGTGTCTGTTATCAGTCTGCCTTGTTAAAGTGTCTCATATGCAGAGACAGTTTGTGTTCTGTTCATCATTTTACAGATAAACAAGTTCAGGATAAACAAGTTCTTACAAGTTGAAGTGAAAACTTCTCTTGAACTGTTTCTACCGACTACACAAGGAAGCAGTCTATTTCCATATTAGTGAAACCTTGTTCCATGTTTGTCATTTGAGAACAGAATGCTGCTGCTCTTCTGATATAAACTAAAATAACCACTTTATTCTTTTATTCTTTAAAGACTTTAAGAGTTCTACTTTCATCATGTTCGCGCAGGCTGGTCTCGAACTCGTTAATTTACGACTTTAATCTCGGTTAGTTGTAGCGGTAGTTTCATGCTGTGTTTTATCTGAGAAAGAGGAAGTTGGAGGAGTCCACAGTGAAACTCGCTTGACTCGAGACTCCCTACCTCTGCAGAAATGTTGAACGTGGGCGACACCACCCTGATAAATGGAGGCAAAGGATGGGAGAAGGCTGCTGATCCGCACTACAGTCAAACAAACCAGCGGGATGGAGGAAGACTATGTGCAGAACGCTTTGCTTCAACTTCTCCGACAGGAACAATTGAGATCTATCCGGATGTCCCGCTGTGTGGTCCTGACTCTTCTTCTGGTTTTAGCGGGTTTGGCTCTCCTGACCGCGGCTGAGCTCCGAGGACGAGGTCATCCAGCGGGCACAGAGGTAAGCCTGTAGGCTAGTTGTACTGAAGAGCTGTGGCTTTGCATGTGTCCGTGCTTTTTTAAAATCCCTGAAAGACAGTCTAGGCTAAATAATGTTTTGGTTTAAACTATTTCGCTAACGTCAGCACACTTTCTGGTCAAAGTTTGTTTCCTGTTGTGATGTTAGTAAACCCTAGTCAAGTCGTGTTAAAGCTGCCAGCTGATACTCAAAAAGTACATCGCATATTGTAAGGTGTCACATTTGATAAAGTTTGATGGGTGTAGGAGACAGGACGAAGACATCTTGTCATTTCTGTTAGTACCGTTGCTTAGTAACCAGGCGTTCTTTCTTCTTCGCCTGATAGAATTCGAGTAGGTTTGTCACAGCAAAGTTCAGCCACGCAGGTTCGGTTGTGGTTGTAACGAGACATTATTACTGCATGTAAATAACTTAAAATGAAACCACAGGTACATTCTGAAGAGGAAAGGCAAATACTAATAGTGATGATAATAATAGCCTACATGTTATAATCTAATAAATCTAATAATGTCTAATGTCTAATGTCTAATGTCTATCGTCATTAGGCTAAGTATTCCTATTTTACAGAGAGGTCCAGGTTTTCACAGTAACAAGACATCTTTTTTTCTCCCAATATAAACATTATTTAAATCATTCAGAAAAATTAAGTTAACATTCTTGTTCTTGGATCTAAGAAAAGTCTGAGTAGTTTGTTTCTGTGAAAAGTCAAGTATAGGCTATAACAATCACGAGCCTAGGTAGGCTATAAATAAATAAAGACTAAATAAAACAAAAAACAAAGAACGAAGGCCAAGATGTTAACAACTCATCAATACTCCAAATAAAAATCATCAGAGGCATTACAAATTCTGTGTCTTCAAATGAATCTTCACTCCACTGTCATAAGTCATTAGCAATGCAGCTGAAGTCTCAGGGCACAGCTTGTGTCGACTGGAGCAGCCTTAGCCCTGTGAGTGATAGAGATACATTCATACAGGCTGAAATTCACATCCTTGTTGCATAGCGATATTTGAACTATTGTTGGTGTCATGTGTAAAAATGAATAGGCATTTGCTGTATAATTTGCATTTGCATAAACTTGGGATAGTCTGATTCAACTGTAACGATACGCCCTTGCTTCTGATTAAAGTATCGTTTTTAGCTTGGTGATTATTGAAATGATTAATACGTCTGTGTTGGTTTCCTTCCAGGACACGATGCAGCCTTACAGCCATTCAGCAGGTAAATCTTGTCTATAATTTACAGAAAAAGGGTAGGCCTATATATATATATATATATATATATATATATTTAGGCATGTAATAGCAATCATTCATCATTGTGTTAAACAATTTTTTTTAATTTCTTGTGCAGGCCTCATCGACTTACAAGAGCAACCGAGATCCTTCAACAGTCCAAGTGCCATGCTGACCGGTAAATCATACTGCACTTATAATTATTGATTTATTGATCAAAGTTTTTCCCAAACGTTAACATTTCCAGGCTCGACTTCTCAAAACTTGAAACACTCACTTACAAAGAGGTAACTTCTTTGTCAAAACTCCACTGATGAATTACAAAATGAAACACAGCACTCAAAACCATGAACTGATTCCTTTCACTCAAACAACACACATAGTTGTGATGTGCATCACATAAACACTGATGGTATCCATTGGAAACACCTTCATTGTACATGTTTGTGTTTGTTTTGGTCTCCTGAGGCCATGTTGTGTTTTCAAATGGAGGAAGGTGTTTGGAAATATGTTCATTGTTTTGGTGAAGTGTAGGGTGTTGCAATTTGAAGGGCCAGTTTTTCCTGGTGAACAAGGTGTGCTAAATGATGCCGTTTGTGTTCAGAGATTTGCACATCTGTGAGTGAGAATGATGTTTGAGTGAGACCAATGGGATCGGGCTTAGAGTTGAGCTGTTTGGAGTCATGTTGTTGATACACAAGCTTCAAGTCTTTCATCAGTTGTGTTCATAGATCAAACCTAATAAAACAGTGATAAGCATAAATGGGAATACATACATGGGAATAAAGATGGCTGGCACGATCACCTGAGGTCAAAAACATGCTGACTTGCTGCTTTTCCTCCAAACATGTATTCTACTAACTAATCAACACTAAATGCAAAAGGGCCTCTAATTGAGAGCTGCCTTTATGTGTCAACAAAAACATGTAGCTACACCAGGCTACTAAAAGGGACTTGGCCTTAAGTTGGGATGGGCCTTTATTTGAAGTTTTACAGTAGTTCATGTGTAAATATGAGCAAACAGAAATCAGACTTTTTCTTCAGAGGAGCATCAGTTCTGATCTGAATAGAGTCTGACTCTTCTTAAAGATATTCGCTCATTAGATGTTTTGATCATGCATTTCGAGGTTGACTCTAAAATCTCCTCTAGTCGTTGCACTTGCCATCATTGTCATGAATATATAGAATAGTAAAGCTCCAAAATCTTTAACCTCATTCTGAATGTTAGTGTTAAATGATGACATAATATATAGTCATGATTTGTTTTAATGCATACAGTCTCTAATAACTGGTCTTTTATCACCTCTGTGAGCAGATTTGTAACTTTTTAAGTTATTTGTACAAAGTTTAATTTGCTATATTTCCAAAAGAAGCCAAAAAGCAAGATTCTGTTTTGTATTTATTATGAAATGAAAGAGCTGAATCATAAAAGCAAAGAACTCATGTTTGCCCGTCTGCTCTCCTTCCCAGCTCCCAGAGGTTGCCAAAGTGATCTAGGACTTCTTGAATGGGAGAGTGAAGATGGAAATGCTTACTGTCACGGAGGATTCAGCTACTCCAGCGGGAGCCTGGTGGTGCCCATACCAGGCATCTACAGAGTCTTTCTGCAGATCACCTTTGAGAGTGGGAGAGAGGCGTGTCGGGATTGGCTGAAACTCACCAACATCGTGTTTGTGTCCCGGGACAGTTATGTTAAAAATGTGTCTCTCCTTTCATCAGTCGACACGGTGATTTGCAGCAAGGAACCGTGGTCTAAATCTCTCTATACAGCCGGCCTGTTTTCACTTGAAGCTAACAGCAGGTTAATTGTGAAATCCTCAAATCCTGGACTTATCGCCAAGAGAGAAGAACAGGTGTTCTTCGGTGCTGAATTTGTGCCTTAATAATCAGTCTGGATGACTGGAATATAATCTGCTAAATCAGATTTTCCTTTTTGGGGGTTATTTGCACTTTTAACTCATAGGAAACTTAAAGCTGCGGTTAAGTTTTACTTTTACTTTTGCTGTTCATGAAAAGGCTGAAAGCTACTAAAGAACTTGTGAGCTACAAGTATCTGCACGACTGCAGGATCCCTTTCTCTCAGTGACGTTATAAACTGCATAATTCACCCCTCCCAAAGACACCCTGCCGCCTTTACGTCGATTTAGTGTTTATTTTCCTACCAAAATGAATTTGGCTGAGGAGACTAAATCAACTGAGGTAAATTCCCTTTAGGTCGGTGTTTGATCAAAGTAGGCAACGTGAAAAGTTCCCCCCTAGGCTCTAAAAATAGTGAAAAAGGTATCCTGATAATGGCACCAGTAGCACGCTATACAGAGGCGCTGCTATAAAGCAGGCAACAGCTGGGGCCCCTGAGGGCTCACAAAGTTAAACCAAAGCAGTGGAACAAATGTGCAAATTTTGCAATGACAGTAGGAAACCTCCCTAACGGGGCCCATCAGACAGCACTCACTCTTGTTGCCCTGCTAAGTGTTGCATGAATTTTTCCAGTGAAACTAAAAGTTTGTCAGTGAAAGTCAACAAAGAAAAAGGAAGAGGAATTATCCATCGATAGGAGAGAAAAAAGAGGAGGAGGAGTAAGCGTCGGGACACTAGCAGACATGATGGTGATGAACTCTGGTTGGAGGGCCCCCCTGTCCTCATGGGCACACACTGTACTAGTACTAGTGAATGTTTTTACAAGTCATCTGTTTTTATTTCATGAACAATACGTGTTATCCACAGTAAGGCGAGATTCTGACCTGATTAACAGGTTGTGACAGGCAAAAGACATGTTGCATACAATGTGTTTTTAAGATCAACTGCCATAATTTGTTCTTGTTTAGTTTTATATTTGGTTAATTTCAGTGTTTGGAATTAATTTCCTGTTTTATTTTTTAATCGTCCCTCATGTGGCTTTGATCCCTGTGTGTGCATTTCCTCAATCTTGTCTTACTTCCTCCCTTTGCCTGGTTTCCCTCCATGTTGATCGCCCTGATTGTCTTCTCCTGTGTCAGACTACACCTGTGTGTTGTTGTCAGTTCATCATATCCTTGTATCCCTGAGTCTGCAGTGTGGATTCCTGGGAACTTCTGGGTTTTACCCAGTGTTTGGATTTTGATGGACTAACGTCTAAAAGTAGTCCTTGTTTTTGACTTTTGCCTTTTTGTTTACAATAAATCTCTATTTTGTTTTCCTCAATTGGGTCCCACTTCTTCATTTTCCACAAACGTGACATCTACACTTTCTTTATTCCTCACTGTATAAGACAAAGACATGACAAACATCAACCTTACACTTCAAATCTTTGTCAAATTCATTTTTAAACAGCCCACCTGTCATGAACAGTTGGAAAAAAAAGGAGAGGTGGATCCAAGAGCAGAATAAACTAAAAGTATTTAATTTAAAAAAAAGGCAAACAAAACTTCCTAACAAAATCCAACAGGAGAAAACAAGGAGCTGCAAGGAAGCACAAGGAGACACTAGAAAACTGACGACTGACAACTAACATCTGACATAATGACAAACGACAATGAACTGACACAGAGGACAAGAAACACAGGCTGTTTTCGAAACCGCATACTACTATCTAAATCAGTATGCAGTATATACTGTATACTGCATACTGAGTTCAACAGTAGTATGTAGTATGACTGCCAGTCGTCAGTTATTTTGCAGGTATGCTTGGCCCCGGTTAAACTGGTTTTACTCAGCTGTGAATAATTTGTAGTAATAGAGCAAGCCAAGGACCCTGTAATTGCAGCTGCTTGTCCAGCTGTGGCACACGCACTGTACAGTCTACAAAGCAGGAAAATCCGAGGTGGTAAGACTTATAAATATATGAACAAGTCATATTTGTTATTGGTTCATAATGTGGCAAGATATTCAGTCACCGCCACCGACGAGTTCAAACAGCTGCGCTCCGGCATTTTGACCTCTGACCTGGCACTTTGCATTGTGGGAAACAGTATGCGAGGTAGACTGGTCCGATGCATACTGTACAATTTTCCCGAATCAGTATGACATCCTGGTATTTTTGGCATACTGCAGATCTCGCAGTTGTTCACATACTGCATACTGCATACTGCATACTGCATACTGCATACTGCATACTGCATACTGCATTTTGGCCAAATCAGTATGTACTAGTAGTATAGTATGCGGTTTCGAAAACAGCTAGAGACTAAATAGACAAGGGGTAATCAGACACAGGTGAGACTAACGGCACAGGTGAAAACAATGAGGGCAAAATTACACAGGAAACACTGAAGACCAGGGGCGGACTGGCCATCTGTGTGTTCTGGAGAATCACAGAACGGCCGGTACTCCAGGACGGCCGGCGGCCGCCACGCAGTCATCACCAGTTTGTTTTTTGTTTTTTTCCTGCTAATCTACTGTTTCACACTCCAGTCCGGTAGGTGGCAACAATATGTCTTTAAGTTGGATGCCAGCCGGCAGCCGCCGTGCCCACCATAGACTGTAAGGTGCCCACCAGCTAATAGAAAAGAAGAAGAAGAAGAAGAAGAAGAAGAAGCAGGAGAAGTAGCAGCAAAGACGATCTTTGGTAATAGTAGTGAAGCACAAAAATATGGATAGAAAACGCAAAGAAAGGGGTGGGGCTGAGAAGGCGAGGGAAAGAAAAATGCGACATTTAGAAAGTGAAGCCGCTAAATGTCACAAGCTCACTGAAATGTTCAGCAGCACAGCCGGCAGCAGCACTGAGGCACAAGTTGACGTTAGCAGCAGCATCCAAGAAGTTAGCAGCATGAGTGAAGAAGAGAGAGTTGAGGTGAGCCAGACAGTTGTGCAGCCTCAGCATGGTAGGGCCACATGTGATGATGAGGGACAGAGAGATGAGCTGGTGGAAGTCCCACAGACAGATACAGGGCAAGTAAGTATGGAACATGACATGAGAGAGGGAGAGTTACTTGCTGGCTGATGTTAGCAAATGTTATTCAGGTGTTGCTACATTTTTATCTATACCCAGTTTGTGTTGCTCAGTACAATGCAAAAAATTAAAAATGAAATAAAAGAAAGTGAAATAATGATTATAGTAGTTAAAACAGCTCCACTTTAAACATTTTAGGTGTAAAATGCCACATGCAGTAATATTAAGAAATGGGCTATATACTGTATATATAAAATGTTTTACTTTTTAAAGTTTTTTTTTTTTTTGTTAAAGCTTTGAAGACTTTGAATACAGAAGTTACATTTGTAATGGTGTATTTTCATTATTGTTTGTGCAATAAGTTAATTATTATTGAGTAATAAATTAATCATAAGATTGCATGGAATAGATGATGTTATGATCAACATCAGTGCTATTGCTGTAATTTGGATGGTATAGTGTCATGAGTCATGATTAAAGTATTGTGACACCCGTGCCAGGCGTTGATGACTTTCCGCTTACCGATTGTTGTGGGCCGGCCAAGTCAAAGTCCAGGGCCAGCAACACTAGGGAAGAACAGGAGAAATCAAAACATGGAAACCCAAACACCAAAACACAAAACCAAACAAGACCAAATCATGACACCACCTGTCTTACCTGCCTGGGTTGTTGTTGTTAGAGCTTATTGGAACCATAACAAAGTCAGTTATTAAATCAAGTTTTTTTGGCTTCAGTCCAACAGTAAGTACACACACGTTGCCTCTGACAACCCAAAATGTTGTTACACTAACACTGAGCGCTGTCAGCAACAGGTGCACATTCATAAATGTGATTCAGATACTTCAGATTTAAATTCCGTAGACAAAATCAAACATTTACCAATCACCTAATTACATAACAAAGTATATGATGGTCATTTTAGGACGGGCGTTTCAATTTAAAATCTGAACAAAGTTAGGCTCATTATTTAAAGGAGTTACCATAGAGCATCTTCATTATGCATTAAACAGATCACATTCAACAAAATATCATCCGTATTTGTATTAATATGGCAATACAATTCATGAGAATAGATACAGTATCACAAAAAATAACATGGAAACACTGCAGATCAATGTTTCCTCCTCCAAATGTCAGAAAGATGACTTCTCAGTCGGGGTAGAGGGGATGAAGGTATTTATGGATGTTCGGAACTTTGAAAGCACTTTTTTCAAAAGATATTTTGGGGCTTTTTAAGCTTTCCATCAGAGATATGACAGTGGATAAAGTCATAAATCAGAGAGAGAGTGGGGAATGACGTGGGAAAGGAGCCACAAGTCGGATTTGAACCCGGATTGTCCACCTGGTGGACTTTAAACCCTGTACATGGGGTGCGTGCACTAATCACTAGGCTTTCCTGTAGACTGTCCTGTGTGCTTCCTGTAGACCATCCTGTAGCCCCTCTATAGACTGTCCTGTAGACCTTCCTGTAAACTGTCCTGTAGACCGTCCTGTAGCCCCTCTATAGACTGTCCTGTAGACCTTCCTGTAAACTGTCCTGTAGACCGTCCTGTAGCCCCTCTATAGACTGTCCTGTAGACCTTCCTGTAAACTGTCCTGTAGACTGTCCTGTAGACCTTCCTGTAAACTGTCCTGTAGACCGTCCTGTAGCCCCTCTATAGACTGTCCTGTAAACTGTTTTGTAGACCTTCCTGTAAACTGTCCTGTAGACCGTCCTGTAGCCCCCTCTGTGTTCAGGCTTTGACCATCAGATGCTATGCCTTATGCAAAACGGGAGGGTCTGACCTCCGGAAATATAGTTCTTGACTTCTAAACTTGATTTTTATTTAATTTTTGGAATTTTCAGACCGTCCTGTAGACCGTCCTGTAGACCTTCCTGTAGACTGTCCTGTAGACCGTCCTGTAAACTGTTTTGTAGACTGTCCTGTAGACCCTCTATAGACTGTCCTGTAGACCCTCTATAGACTGTCCTGTAAACTGTCCTGTAGACCTTCCTGTAGACCCTCTATAGACTGTCCTGTAGACCTTCCTGTAGACTGTCCTGTAGACCGTCCTGTAAACTGTTTTGTAGACTGTCCTGTAGACCCTCTATAGACTGTCCTGTAGACCCTCTATAGACTGTCCTGTAAACTGTCCTGTAGACCTTCCTGTAGACCCTCTATAGACTGTCCTGTAGACCGTCCTGTAAACTGTTTTGTAGACTGTCCTGTAGACCGTCCTGTAGACTGTCCTGTAGACCCTCTATAGACTGTCCTGTAGACCGTCCTGTAGACCCTCTATAGACTGTCCTGTAAACTGTCCTGTAGACCTTCCTGTAGACTGTCCTGTAGACTGTCCTGTAGACTGTCCTGTAGACCGTCCTGTAAACTGTTTTGTAGACCGTCCTGTAGACCGTCCTGTAGACTGTCCTGTAGACCCTCTATAGACTGTCCTGTATCCTCTCTATAGACTGTCCTGTAGACCGTCCTGTAGACCCTCTATAGACTGTCCTGTATCCTCTCTATAGACTGTCCTGTAGACCGTCCTGTAAACTGTCCTGTAGACCTTCCTGTGTGTTGTCCTATAGACCGTCCTGTAGACTGTCCTGTAGCCCCTCTATAGACTATAAACTGTCCTGTAGACCTTCCTGTAGACCCTCTATAGACTGTCCTGTAGACTGTCTTGTAGACCGTCCTGTAGACTGTCCTGTAGACCCTCTATAGACTGTCCTGTATCCTCTCTATAGACTGTCCTGTAAACTGTCCTGTAGACCTTCCTGTGTGTTGTCCTATAGACCGTCCTGTAGACTGTCCTGTAGACTGTCCTGTAGCCCCTCTGTTTATAGACTATAAACTGTCCTGTAGACCTTCCTGTAAACCCTCTATAGACTGTCCTGTAGACCTTCCTGTAAACTGTCCTGTAGACCGTCCTGTAGCCCCTCTATAGACTGTCCTGTAAACTGTTTTGTAGACCTTCCTGTAAACTGTCCTGTAGACCGTCCTGTAGCCCCCTCTGTGTTCAGGCTTTGACCATCAGATGCTATGCCTTATGCAAAACGGGAGGGTCTGACCTCCGGAAATATAGTTCTTGACTTCTAAACTTGATTTTTATTTAATTTTTGGAATTTTCAGACCGTCCTGTAGACCGTCCTGTAAACTGTTTTGTAGACTGTCCTGTAAACTGTTTTGTAGACTGTCCTGTAGACCGTCCTGTAGACCCTCTATAGACTGTCCTGTAAACTGTCCTGTAGACCCTCTATAGACTGTCCTGTAGACCGTCCTGTAAACTGTTTTGTAGACTGTCCTGTAGACCGTCCTGTAGACTGTCCAGTAGACCCTCTATAGACTGTCCTGTAGACCGTCCTGTAGACCCTCTATAGACTGTCCTGTATCCTCTCTATAGACTGTCCTGTAGACCGTCCTGTAGACCCTCTATAGACTGTCCTGTAGACTGTCCTGTATCCTCTCTATAGACTGTCCTGTAGACCGTCCTGTAGACCCTCTATAGACTGTCCTGTATCCTCTCTATAGACTGTCCTGTAGACCGTCCTGTAGACCCTCTATAGACTGTCCTGTATCCTCTCTATAGACTGTCCTGTAAACCGTCCTGTAGACCCTCTATAGACTGTCCTGTAGACTGTCCTGTATCCTCTCTATAGACTGTCCTGTAGACCGTCCTGTAGACTGTCCTGTAGCCCTCTATAGACTATAAACTGTCCTGTAGACCTTCCTGTAGACCCTCTATAGACTGTCCTGTAGACCTTCCTGTAAACTGTCCTGTAGACGTCCTGTAGCCCCTCTATAGACTATAAACTGTCCTGTAGACCTTCCTGTAGACCCTCTATAGACTGTCCTGTAAACTGTCCTGTAGACTGTCCTGTAGACTGTCCTGTAGACCCTCTATAGACCGTCCTGTAAACTGTCCTGTAGACCGTCCTGTAGACCCTCTATAGACTGTCCTGTAGGCCTTCCTGTAGACCGTCCTCTAGACTGTCCTGTGTGCTTTCCTGTAAACCATCCTGTAACGTGTCCTGTCAGAGTAAATTAGTTTCATAGTGTTTTAATGTTACTACCTATTTTGGGTTTACGGATGAAATGTAGCTTTTTTGCTAATTTACATAGATGCATATTTCTGAAATGTTGAACAATGTGCTCTGTCCTTATTCAATAAATAAATAGAAGATGTGTTTTTTTTTTCTGTTTTCAGGCTGAACGTCAGGAGTGTGTACAAGAGCATTAGCAACAGCATCACAGTCACTTAAATAAACAGTCCAAGTGTGTGTATCACTCTGTGTGGATTATACTTACTGGTGTTGCTATAGCCAGCTCAGAGTGTTTGTTAGTGACTAGTTAAGGGTGCTTTTAAAGTTCAAGATGCACTGAGTGTTCTCTGACCTTAAACAATCTCGGATTTAGAATACACTCAAGATCGACACTCTTGTTTCTCTTGGGGAAATAAGGGCAATGTTGTCACACCACTTTAACACAGTGTGTGATTTTTTTTTTGACTGAGAATCGTCCTGTCTTTGTCGTTTTATTTGTGCTCTTTTTTGTGTCTCAATGAAAAATCAAAAAAGACACGCTCTTCCCTCAGTGGGAGCTGGATCCAAAAGGAACTAAAGGTAAGGAAAGCAAAGCAAGATCCACACACCAAGAAGCTCCTGTTTGAAGGATTTATTCTCTTCCTCAGACTTAATAAGTCCTTCAAACGGGAGCTTCTTGGTGTGCGGATCTTGTTTTGCTTTCCTTACCTTTTTTGTCCCTAGACATCATCGTAAATGAGGGAAGCCTCAAGGATTAGTGCCACTGAAAAACAATTGACTTTCAGAACCCCTCTCACACAAAAAATTAGTGGCCCTGATCCTCTTCTGTACATCTGAGCGTTCCTTTAATTCACATTTCTATTTATAAACTTCCCTTGAAATGATAAGGGAATTTCCAGGACTCTATCATACTTTCTGTAATGCCAACTTCTCAGTAAAAGTATTTAAGGTATCTCAAAATCACATCACTTATCCTGTTCACTGGGTTTCACCTGCCACCTACCATTTGTCTTTATTTAGTTGCGCATGTATGCATTCCTTTGTGTGTGGGCTCACAAAGACATCATGCCATTGATGATGAAAATCTGATTAGTTAGAATTTTAAATGATATAACACAGGAAACACTGGCCTTCAAAATGCAACACTCCGACTACCAATTAGTCTCACTCGTGTTCCAGCTGTGCGCTGGAAGAACTCCTCAATCCTGTGTCAGACCATGAACAGAACATGGCAGGATGAGGTCCTCTGGTCCGACCCGAATCAGAGCCATGGGCATGCAGGCTGATCTGTTTTGTCAGTTCATCTGAACCTTTTGTGTTGCAGTAACAGATATATTATTATATATAATATTTCTTTTGTTACCTCTTTGCACTGATTTTTCTTCTCTTTCTTTCTACATTAAAAACATAATAAAGCACTACAGTCCACACAAACCATCACATTTAGAAGAGAGCAAATATAGTTTCCAATACATTTAAGAATAAACATTCAACTTTGCAAGACAGGTATTTAAATAAGGTTAAAATAAATGAAAACTACCAACACTCTGTGCATATGTTACAATGCCCCGAGGTGTTTCCCATTGTACTCACATACAGAACACACTGTAGGTGAAATGACAGAGTTTTTATTAAGTTACATAAAATCATTGTGTGGTGTATACATGTGCTACTGTCAATGATATCTCAGGATGAAAAAAAAACAAAACTCATCACTTCACAAAACGATAAAAAATGTAACTTATCTCCACACACAGGTGTTCATTTGCTTAAGATGTCCCCATGA